TAGTTCTATCAGATATAATTTAGCCTTGTTCATTTATTAAAAACCATGTGGAGGCATTTACGTCACCGTCTAGTAATATAAAGGACAAGTGACCTTTGTCGAGCCATGGTTTTTATATTGCCGAAACATACCAGAAAACGTGCAGCTAGGTATTTACCTTACTAGGAAGCCATGCCAGTGACTTGACATCGCAGATGACCGTGCCAAATTTGTAATAAACTAATTAATCAGGCCTATATTTACTGTCCTGATATCATGCGTTACCGTACCCAAATTCGCAATAAGCCAATCAGAAGCTGTCTTTACGATCCTGATATTTATACCTAATCGTAGCTTTTAGGTACGCTTCGGCGGCATATCAGGCGCGGTTGCTCGAGCCATGGTTCGTATTTTGACAAGATGTAGTCGAACCAAAATACCCATCGCTCGACCAAACAACGTTTCCATTTTTTTGGTACTTTCGGGCGGCATATCAGCTTCCTTTGGTTTAACCAAGATATTTTGGCTCGACTACGTCTCGCCAAAATACGAAACATGATTCCATCAAACTTGCCAAGCCAAGCCATAGCCGCCAAGCTAGTCTTTTTAGGACATTAGCATAAAAAAAGTTGTTTTTAGGACGATAATATAACATTGTCTTTTACATCTACCACTACCTGAAAAGTTTAAAAATGCGTCAATTTTAAAATTGACGACCTTAGTTTGTTGAAAATTTTAACGTCTTTATTACATATCATATTGCCATACAAACAAGTTTTGTGACGCTAAATGAATTAAAAAAATAAACAAGTAAACGATGAGGGAACATATTGAAAACTTAGGGACTATACTGAAGCAAACTGAAGTTGAATGGCTGATTACAGTACACTTTTCCTGTTTTGCCGTGGAAAAGTCGATCTGGAAGCAGGTTTTTTATATACCTAGGCAGACTCTACGTTTTATTTGGAACATAACATTTCTGAGGGCCGCTCTCAGCAACATAGTTCTGACTCATCAATTTTGCGTGGTGCACTCGTACAAAAAGTCTGATGTAAAAATGGTAAAATTTTTGCCTGGCCTATGATAAACATCTTACCAGGGCCCCCCTTTTTAACTTTTCTTGAAAAGTCTAGCAGTAATGTAATTCTACTGGAGCTGCCATATTTGCATTGAAATATCCTCCTTTTAGCCAAACTGAATTTGTCCGTTTACAAGAACATTTTCTCTTGATTTTAAATGCCTGTGGTGACTTGCAAATACGCACGAAACAAACAAATTGGCTTGATTTTCGCCACTCATCCTCTGAATTTAATGGTGTGTCGTCTTTATCTCCTCGCGTGTCACCCATTGATTGTAACAAGAGAGTATGATCATAATCTCTCTCTTTTTTCTTGCTTCTTTTTTTTCTTTTTTTCTTATCAGTAGCTTTTTGTATTCTGTAAGAGCATCACGATATTGCTCTCGTAAGTTTGCATTTAAGGACGGTGCCTACTAAATACAAAGGTCTTTGCGTCAGGTTAGGACTAGGCGGAAAAAGTAGATCTTTGCAAGGGCTGTTGGAATCTACAAAGAAAAATGGCGGTAGCCACGCATTTTTTCGAGATAATTAGCCTTGAATCTTAACAAAACTGCTGACATCAGCATTTTCTGAAAAAAGAAGGAAAGGATATTTCTTCACAGATTTCCTTCGAATTCGCCTTCACAAACAGAAAAGTAAATTTATAAAGATCTTAAAACTGCATGGTAAATGGTAACATAAAAAACATTTTTTGTATGTTCTTAATAACAAAATCGTTGCAACAGCGCTTTTAGCGTCTCTGACAACCTTCCTCTGGTTCAGCTAAAATATAGTCTAAAAACCGTTTGTTCACAACCAGAAACTAATCACGTGTTGAATAGGCTTGCCACTTCCATTTTATAACATAAAATGTGGGGGT